GACTCTTTCCAGAATCTGTCTGCTGACCATTTTTCTGTACTGATGTCGAGGTGCTCAAAAAAGTCAACCATTTCTTTGTTATCTCCTGCTAAACCATTAATATCATATGTAAAACGAAGGATGGCAATTGTTCTTTCTCCAAAGCTGACAGTGTCCTTGTGGTCGTGCAAGATATCCTTCATGATGATTTCCAGGAAAATGTTGAAGAGTGTAGGTGACAGTATGCATCCTTGTTTGACTCCAAATCTAAACCAATCTCCTCGCTTTGTCATAGAGGTGCTCAATAGCCTGCACTAGGTTTGAGCTGATGTTGTATTTCCTCATAATTGCCCAAAGGCCTTTGTGAAATCTATAAAGACGTGGTATAGATTCTGCTGATGATGAAGGCATTTCTCGCAAAAGAGTCTGAGATTGAAGATTTGTTTTGTGGTGCTCATTCCTGCTCGGAAGCCTGCTTGCTCTTCAGCAATAATTTTCTTGCTTGAGGCTTTAGTCTGTTCAGAATTATCTTCAGCATGACTTTGCAAGGGTGACTGATCAAACTAATGGTTCTGTAGTTTTGGCATAGCTGTAGGTTTCCTTTCTTGACAAGCACGATGACCAAGGAATGAGTCCATGTCGTGGTCCAATCTCCTGTCTGCCATATTTTGTTGCAGCTAGGTGTTAGAACTGTAACTATCTCTTCTTCTCCTGCTTGATTGAGCTAAGCTGGTATGTTGTCAGTGCTGCCTTACTTTCCTTTCTTTAGTGAGCAAACTACAATTTCTACGATGAATGGGGTTGTCATCAATTTCTTCTGCCTTATGGTAATTTAGCACTGCTGGATCTCCTTGGTTCTTATGATCGTACAAGTCTGAACAGTATTATTTCCATCGCGTGAGGCTCTCTCGACCTTCTATTAGGCATTATCCTGATTTTTCTTGGATGGTGGTAGTTTTCCACTGTTTATGGGTTGTAAGATCTTCCACCAGTTGATATGCCATTTTGCTGTCATTTCTACTCAATATTCAATTTTGCAGCATTGTTTTGTATCCAGGATTCCTTTACCTTTTTCATGCTTTTCCTTATCATGTTGGTTATCTCTGTATTTTCTAGCTCTTTCATGATCTCTTTTTTTCTTTTTCCGTTCTCTTCTTTTGTCACATAGTTCAAGGACATCTGTTGTGACCTCAAGGTTTCCTTGTTGGACGATATTTGTCAATGATCTCGCTAGCTGTGATAGTCACAGCTGTGTTGAATGTGGTTGGTGAGGACTCTAGGTCAGTGTGTTGCCTGTCCAGGGTTATCAAAGGTGCAAATTTACCACCTATATTTGCTTTGAAAGCTTCTGCGGCTTTTGGATCTTTCAATTTTTCAAGGTCAAACCTGATTCTTGGTTAGTTTGGCTTTTTTATCATTTTCATGTGGAGGCAAAACGTCGTCATTAATGGTCAGTTCCAATATCTACTCCTGGAGAACTTCGTGTTCTGGTGATATTAATTCTTGTGTAGAATCGATTTTTTTCTCTCTCTCCAAGATGTAGTCAAACTGCTTGTAATTTTATTCATCTGGACTGTGCCAGGTCCATCTCCTAGATGCTTTGTGAGAGCCTAATGTATTGGCTAGCACAAGGTTGTTGTTGGCATCAAACTCCAAGCAGAAGCGTTCACAGGTCATTTACCAGTTTGTAAATCAACTCCTACCGTTGGATTCCAGTCTCCTTGTACAAACATATTGTCCTTCTTGGGTGAGTTTTCACTGATATCTTGCAGTTGGTCATAAAAAGTCTCCAGTCATCACAGTTAGATGTGGGTCCATAGACCTGTATGATTGTGATCCTGAAGGGAATTGCTTTCAGGCGGATGGTAATGAGCCAGCTTGAGACTGGGCAGCAACCCATAATGCTGTTCACTATGCCCTTGTTGACAAGAAATCCAACGCCATGATTGTGTTTGCCTCCTCTTCCACTGAAGTAGAGCCTATGCTCTTAATCTGTTGTAATTTCGCCAATGCTTTTCCAGCTTACTTTGTAGAGACCAAAAATGTTCCAGTCGTACCTCTCCAACTCATGTGTAAATTCTTTCAACTTTTCCACAGTGTGCTAACGTGCCATGTACCAATGATTGTTCTCCTATTGATATTGGTAGTAGGGCACCAATAGCATACTTGTCACCTCCGTCCTGGTGTTCAGAGGAAGGCACAGTCATTGTTTACCCGGGTTGCGACCGAGTCGGTATGGAAGAATTGCTACTTGTCTTCATGTGGTATGTCAAAGGCAAGATACAGCCTGGCAGAGCCCATCCCTTTCCAGACTGGATGACCACTGCCTATTCGTCATGGAAGAATTGTTGATTTCATATGGCGTGTCAGGAGCAAGATACAACCTGGCTGAGCTCTTTCCTCTCCAGACTTGGTGACCACAGCCGAAATTCACTGAAATAATGTGGCATGCCCTGACCCTGAGCACATGGTTATTGAGTTCATCTTGGAGCCATTACACCATGGCTGTTGACTTCATCAAGGAAGACTTCCGGCCATTTTCCTGTGCTATCATCACACCATTTTACCCTTAGTCGGGAGACACGTGGGATTGGGAGCGTGTTATAAACATCCCGTACGGATGCAATTGGATGAGAAAACGACGAGGTAACACACCATGTTGTGCTATAGATCATTAAAGACTGATAGCTAAATATTGCATCTGATAAAAGAAAATGGTTTTACACAAAAGATAGGGGTTAAGTAGGAAAAGAAAACATTAAATACTTCTTATGTTACGCAGCTACACAATACAAAGTAATGGAAAACTAAGGTGTGGAAGTATTTTACTTTAAATCAACCAGAAGATATGTTAGGTCTTGGATTTTCTAATAACAAAGCTAATGTATTGATACAGTAAATCTCATTACAAAACGTGTAAATATGTTAAAGCAAACAAAGAAGTAAATACATATTTTAAACCTATGTTTTCATTGGACAAACAACAAATTTTAAAACAGCGTATAAAAAGAAGTATAAAATACAATAAATAAATAAAATAACCATATTCGAAAAACACAACAGCCTTTTACCAAGGATAAAAGTCAGAAATTTACAGACGTGGATGTGTCTTTTTTAAGTCTTTTCTAACTCTTCAGTTTCTTTTGATACATTTCAATTTTTAATTTTGAATAGACAATTTCTGCAGCAAAAATAAAACAACTTAATTCGCTTTCTTCTCGTGCAGTGAATGAATTTCACTGCAGGTGGAAGTTCTTCGTTTTAAAATATTATGTTGTATTACACTGATCTATCACTAATTAATCTATTATTACATCAATCTTAAATTTTTTACTTCTACATTTTAATAAACGGCTCATTTTGTCTCTCATTAACATCTCAATAGCTTCAATGACTTTGATCAGTTTCTATTGTACAACTGCAGGTTTTATTATTTATTTAGGCTGTATCACTGGCGTATTTTCACCATCTCGGTCTCTAAGCTATGATATATCAGACAAATCATACTTTTGTATATTGAAGATAATCACACATGAATTTAATCTTTAATAATAGCTTCATTATTCAGTCATATTTGATAGAAGCGAATTGATGGAATACAAAAATATTTTTACATTGAAGCTGTGTCTGATTTAATAATTTGTCTTAATGCTTGCAAATTGTTTGTTAGTTAAAATAATACATTAGTTTAATCAGCTTAGCATTCTATTTGTTGCTTTATGGAGAAAATGTTTAACTAAGTATTCGATTTAAACTTATTGCAGAATAGAATATTTTGTATACTGTTCAACCGTAAAAGCAAACTTGTGTTGCTAATTGCTTTAACTTGTTTCGTAAGATAAATGTAATAAATATTTTTTTAGATATTAACTGAACAGTTGTAAAAATTTGTTAAACAGAACAAAAACAAACAAAATCAAAACAAAAATAAACAAAAACAACTCCAAAAGAAATAGAAACAACATAAACTAGATGACTTCTTCCAACCACTGGACGAAGAGGTAAAATGCAAGTACGTATTCAAGACACGTGTGATTGATATTATTGTTTTTGTTGCTTACAAGGCTTTCCTTTTGTTTGGTGTTTTAGGTATTAAGTAGTAAAGATGGATTGAAAAGATACCATAAAGAGTTGAATACCTCAGTCCAGAAACTTACTGTATAATATAAATCCAAAGTAAAGCTACACCTGAACAAACTTTACAGAAAACAATACCAAAACGAAATCCAAACACATGAATTTTGATTGCACCAATAAGTTACATTTTGTTATTTAATTTGTAGGCAAAAATAAATGTAGTGTCAAATAATTTCGCTAAAATAGTTTAGAAAGTCCACATTATGAGATGGAATTTATGATCTTTTCAATTTATAAGATTGCAGCATCTTCGTGAAAACAAAATTGTGCTGACGCAATTATCTGAAAGAACAAATAGAACAGGGCCCTGTAATAATAAACAAAGTTACGATAAATAGACTTTGCATAGACAGGCTAAGGGTTTTTTTATTCTGTTTTTTTTTTATTCTGTTTTTTTTTGCTACAGATATCAAGATAGCATGATACAATTTCCTGATATTCAATGAACAATTTTTTTTACAGCTGTACCTTTGAATTACTTGTTATATTTTTTAATATTAATATTATTTATTATTAAAATATAAAATATTATTAATTAGTTTTTAAATTTATTATAACGCATCTTTTACTAGTTTAAAACATATTCGTTCAATTTTTGTTCAATTTTCGAATCAAACGCTTGATCTTATTCATGGAACTCTAGAACAGTAATCGATGTTAATTCGTTGTTGAAAACACCAGCTATCCTTTGATTCTTTTGTGGGGTACAAAATGTTTTTCTTTGGATTTATGTGTATGTGCGTGCATAACTTTAAAAAAATTAGTCATTGTTATTTATTTTGTAGGTGAATTAAATAACAATTTTTCAGCCGACCACCATGTTCTAAAACTAATCTCTTAATGCTGAGTGCCTAGCGAAGTAGATGTTTGTACCATTTTCATAAGACTTTGGTATGACTTTACCGAGGTTCGAACCCACGACCTTCCGCATCCGAGGCAGACACTCAAACTACTAGGCCACCAGAGCAATCTGTCTATTGGATGGGAGCCAGTATCATAACAGTTCATGTTATTTTTCATATCATTAAATGTGTGTTCGTCTCAACAAAATTAGTCTGAATATAGCACTATTTGGTTTTGAGCTTATCGTACAAAACTTCATACATTAGTCATTCAGATATCTCTAACTCTGTAGATCAAAAACAGTAGGACTAGTGTACACTTGTTTTGATTTATTTGATTTCTCAAATAATTAGCTTTACGTCACAGTAAAAAATTGTTCTACTCGCAAATTATATTTCTGTTCAGCATTTTCTTATAAAATATGTTTTCATCAGCATATATTCTAACTCGTTTCTTTCCCGAGATTTTCGATTCGTTTAACAAATTTTCATAAAATGAACAGGATCAATTTAGTCAATTTTTAAATAAAAAAAATCCACTTTTCATGTCAGGTATACTCAGCATATAACATTGATATAGATATTTTCAGATTTAAATATTTCATAAATACCTGAACATGCAGGAAATCGTCATTCATTACGTTGGAAATGTAATCGCGGAGTCAAACGTGTCTCTGGCTGGGTGTGTTGTGTATATTGAATTTAATTGTCTGTTTGTTAGTTTTATTTTTTTAAAAAAAATTATTTAATGCTATTTTAATGTAGCATTGAATGCTGGATTTTACCTTGTCCAAAATTTAATTTCTGCTTGATCTTACTTTTGTTTTATTTCATTTTTTTGTAAACAAATATAACATAGTTAAATTATTCTATGGGCTTAAATCAGGATCTTTATTAAAAGAAAAAGTAAATATGTTTATTCCGGTCATGGTTTTGCAATTTCCATAGTGAATTTTACAGGTTATGGTTTTGATTTTGTAAGCATCAGGATCATTCTACAAGCTTATCTTCCATTATGTAATGTTTATGTTTAAAAAATGCTAATTGTGACCTGATGTCAAGTGATGAACATTATAATCTTGTAATTATGAGGTCTTGCTCATTTGAGCTTTTAACATCTAGCACTTTTACGTTGTATCTTGTTGTGATCTGTTGATCTGAATTTTATTTTCTTGAAATTATGGAATTGAAGTGGCTATTTTCTCTAGAAACATAAAAGTGCTCTGATGAAATTATTGGATAGAGACATTTACTGGAATTTATAGTGTATTCAAACCTGGAATTATATTACTGTGATTCAGAAAGGACTGTTAACACATCAACACTCTGTAAGCTATGACAAACATGTTGTGATTTGGATTTTCTCAGGACTTGTACTAAGTTTTTTTCAGGACTTTAAATTATTTGGACCTGTCTGTAATTCTTGGATTATATTTATATTTTAATTTGCAATACTGTAAGTTCTTTTTTCTCATTTTCACTTTGTATTCTAGGAAAATAAATTGTTAAATTTTATTTTTGTTGACTTTCATTCTTTTCTGTTACTCATTTTAAGAGCATAGACTCGTAACAGGTGTCACATTTGTCAACTTTTTCATTGTTTCTGTAAACTTGGCATCACTCAATATGTTTGTCAGTGGTTCTTTCGACTGTTCCATGAAAGTAAAGCTATCAACAAGAACAATGTATTTTTTTTGAAAGGAAATCATTAAGATAAAATTACTTAAACTCAAGTCTATATAAATTCGCACAAGATTACAATGTGATAAATATATATCAAGAATTTGAGCCAGTACCTGCCAGTCAAAATATTTTGTAGGTTATAATTTGTGCTGAAATTTAATTTAATTCTTGCTGCATGACAGATTATTAAAAGATACAAATATTGGGTACTGAAGCTAAATTTTAAATCTTCAAACATTTTGTACTTCATTGTTTTCTGAATTAAATTCTTATTCAAAGATATTTACACATCGCACAAGTACATAGTATTTTTTATGCAGTTTCCCATACAAATGTGTGCTTAAAGAGCTCAGAAGTTGCAACATTGAAAGCTCCTATAATATCACTGGTACATTATAAATAGCTATTTTTAGGGTTTGTTGCAAAAGAACACTTAGATCCTTCTTCCATAATCAGATTCCCTCAATCTGTTTCTTTTCATCCCATGGCAAACCTATCGACTATGAAATATGTATGGAATGATATGCATTTTTCATTATTGTTTAGTATCATAATCATTTGCTATTTTTAACATATATGTCATAGCATAAAAGAACACATACCAATGTTTGATATCAAAAGCATTTTTGAGCTTAAGCTGTACAGCTGATACCAAATTATGTGTAATGATAAATATTCATTCAAGTTAAACATCCACTTTGCATTTTCACTAATGTCCTGCTCAAATGTGGTATATTAAATATAGAAAAGTATTCAAAGACATTATTTTATTCCTGTTTATTACAATTATAGGTCTGGTATATGGGAAACATTTCTGTACTTGGCTTTTTATGCTTCTTGCATTGGTAATCCAATAACTCTAATCATCAAGTCTATATCAGCTTTCACTTAGTTGAATAGTAAAACTTGTCTCAATTAATATTTGAATGCCATTAAAATATTCATACAAGTCTTGACTTTTGTCAGTGTTATGTTTATTTACATCCTCTATTCTTTTTCTACTTGTAATGCATATCTAGGATTGTTACTTTTCTCATTTGTTTTCATATTGTTGAATTAAATATCAGTGTTTATTTTGATTTATTTTCCTAGAAATATTTAAATATATTTAACTACTATATGTGTTTGATATGTGAAAAACAACCAGATAAACTTAACTTTTGGCATTGATTTTAGCATGGGCCAAGCATGACAACCGGGCAGTAGCCTTAAAATTTTATTTCCTCAGCATTTAAAGAACATACAATAAAACACTGGTTTTACACTCAGTCATCAGTGTGAAAATCTTCAAAGACAATCTGTCTTGTGAATTTTCAATGTTCTGTAACCTTGAGGTCCAGTCCATTATAGACGTCAGGCCAGATCCCCACTAAGTGCTTGCTGATTTGTGAAAATATGGAGCCATGCAGTGCAACAGGTGGGCAATCCAAAAGATTACAAAGCATTGCTACAGGCAGATACTGGAACAATTAGCATTCTTTTTCATGTAGCCTGACTGTATGTATGTGTAACAATCTGCCCATGCATGTTCTGATTAAGGGAAATTAATGACTAACCCATTCTTTTCTTGTATCATCTATTTATTCATAAAATCATATCATCAAAAATAAATACTATCACTCATTTTTGCACAATTACATGAATACCATTTTATAAATTACAGTAAAGAAAAAAACAATTTTCTTTCATCCATTTGCTACCTTAAAAACAGACTGTTCACCAAGATATTTGATCTGAAACCACTCTTTTAAAACAAAGATGTGTACCAGAGTTGTTGATAAAAAATAAATTTGCTACTAATGGATTTTTTTGTACAAATTTTTGTAAGATGGACAGCTGAATACATTACCATAAATATAATTTGTCCAGTCTATGTCGTATCAAAGCAAGCAAATAATTCATAGACATTTTATAGACACAGACTGTGTACCAGTTTTTGTCTGAAACAAAAAAATAAAGACTACAACAGGACTTAACAAAAAATACAAAACCAGTTTAAAATAAGTACATGTATATTGCTAGCCTGTGCAAATATCATGATAAAGATTGGCAAATACAACAGAATACGAAACCACACTGCTGCTTTCATCAATGGATCTAATCCTATTAAAGTGGACATCATTTTAGGTAAAATATATATTATCTATTAATTTAATATTGCTAGCACTGAAGTCTGCAATATGTATCCATCTCAAACTTAACTGTGAAACAGTTTACAAAATCTTTGAAACAATCTAAAGCGAAAAAAAATAAAGATTTCTGAAGTTCACTAAATAATGATGTGTCAAGTATTGTCCACTTAAAATATGAACTGTGGTCAAACTGTTGCACCTTGAGCATGGGATTGTGGTCTCCAAGAATCTTTTGTCCCATGTCCACCAAATTTTGACCTTGCTACTATATATACTCTCATACAAGTCGAGTCAAACTGCAAACAACAATAATCCTGTAAAGCCATAACATGATGTGCATGCAGACCATGTTCTATATTGTTCGTTATCCTGAATATTCCTAACAAACTGCAGATCAAATGCAACAGCAAACATGTTTCTGTGCAGTTTGGAGGTGGACTTATAGGTGAGTACATATAGTTCTTGAACTTTTACAGTTAGCGATATACTATAATCTTGTTTACTATTGAAAAATAATACACTAAACATGTTATAAAAAGTGGATCATACAATAAGTAAAAAAGTATTTTTCTTGTTTTGTTCCCAGCTTGTGGAGAGAATTTGTTTGATATGGCATAAAAATCTGCCATTGTCATTAATAATTTTCAGTACCTCTGGATAGCACAGGTGACAGGATAGTCATATTAGATTATTATAAATGACATATACACTCAGCTTGCTTTATTAGTTCAATTTTGGCTTAACGCTGTTATCTAGAGTCTTACTATATCATTAAATAAATGTTAGCTTTTAGTGTTGCAAGACTTGCCAATACTGACTCTAGTGTTTACTTTTCAACTGTTGTCTTGGTACCTTTGATTCTTTTGATGAGATTCTTTTGTGCTAAAAACTACACAAGAATGTCATAACATAGACAGCAGAGACAAATTCATGCAGGGATAAACTACACAATGTATAACTGAAATTGTTTAAATGCATCATTATGATGGCCAAGGAATAAAAAGAGTTTGGTAAAACATTCAACTGTTTGGCATAGATTTATGTGACCTATTGTGCCATATTCAGATAAAATCACAATGATGTTTCGTAATTCAATAAGAGCCCCCAAAAGTCATGTCAAATAATCAACTCAACAGTACATAAATAAATTTTATAAAACCAAAATAATGTGTAAAAACTGTGGTCCTTACTATAATGATGTTCAGGGAATCCATGAAAGTGTACTGTCATATAGACAAGGCAACCTTATACTGTAGTACATTACACACAGGACAGAGATCCCTCACTATAATGCTGTACAATTGAGTCAA